AGCGTTCCCCGTTCTCCTTTTATTTTATTTTGATCGGTCTCCTCGACGCTCTTTCTCGTTTGGTGCGGTAGCTGGTCTTTCTTTCTATCATTTTGTTTCTCTTCCGAGTGGTTTTTGTACCCTATTTTTTTCTGTTTCTTCGTGGGGTCGTGTATGCCGGGTTTTGAGACCACGGGCTCCCAATCTTTTTTTTTTTTTTAGAGCTAATGTGAGAAACAACAAAAACAACCCCCCTTGACCGATTTTCGAAGCTCGATTTCTAAACTGCAGGAACAGTCACAGCGTCGAAAACGGCGGCGTTGAAACCGCCTTGTTCATAGCTTTTCGAAAATGTATCATTTCGTTTATGCATCATCTTCGTCGTGGAGTAATCGAGCTTTGAAAATCCGTCCAGGGGGTGTGTTATCTTGTGTCATACAGTAGCAAACATACATTAGTTTTTTTATTTCTTCGCGGTGTCGAGGGTGCCGTACCTTGTAACCACGAGTCCCATGGATGTTTTGGGATTGAGGACTTATGTGAGAAACCACTTCTACAAGAGGGCTGGCAGGGGCCATGCCCACCAAGGCACGTGTTGTGAACCAGTCCCAACGATACAAAATACAACAGACGCCACTGCTACTACTTGTTGTAGCAGCGGCGGCGAAGGTGGACAGGTCGGTTTTGTGCTAAAAATAGATTAGTCTCAGATACCCATAGCATTAAGATGATCCCGACGGCATTGTGGAAGCCACAAGTTTTCTTTTTCGCAACTGACGTGCTCTGGCGTGCCGCGCGTTGGTGGTCGGGGTGTGTGATCCGAGCCTGGGCAGTTTCTCGTTTTCAAAAACACCTGCTGGTGTAACCACGGTGAGATTTTTGGTCCGCATTTTTGGCGAGAAGTCTGCGGACACNTGTGGAAGCCACAAGTTTTCTTTTTCGCAACTGACGTGCTCTGGCGTGCCGCGCGTTGGTGGTCGGGGTGTGTGATCCGAGCCTGGGCAGTTTCTCGTTTTCAAAAACACCTGCTGGTGTAACCACGGTGAGATTTTTGGTCCGCATTTTTGGTGAGAAGTCTGCGGACACAAGTCCATCTTCCAAACGGATTTCTATCCAAGAGAGCCTCAGACATGTACTATCGACACACGCGACGGCAGGAAACTCCTCCTCTTCAGCGACACAGACCCGCCTGCGACGTGGAGGGTAGTCGGAAATCGGCTCGGAACCACCCCGGGTGTCTGCCCTCGCGAAGTCACGACAAAAAGACTCACCGAGAATGAAACTCGCTCTACCCTGGCACATAACCTCCCTTGTGATGGTGTTGGCGCGCCTGGCGAAGAGGCCAGCTTAACCCTCAGGCGGTCGTCGCGGGGGCGTGATGAAAGTGGGTTGCAAAGGGTAGCTAGAAACGCGCCCCGGGGAGTCCTGTGCACGCCAGCATACGTTGTGAAACCCCGGACAGCATCGCTCAGCTCTGCGCTCCTCTCCTGTACAATAATCGCTATAGGGACTCGCCTGTCAGCATCCAATTTTTTTTATTATTTAGTCATATACCATTGCAAGTGCATGCCTGCTGTGTACTCTTCCCACACCGCCGTTGGCCTTTTTTCTCGCATTGAGCCAACAAAGTCCAACCCGAAAAGACTAACCTTAGACTAACTACCTAAACATCAACCATAAACAGCAATGATAATAGTCGTCCTGTAGAGGCTTGAAAACCAGCTAGCATGGTAGGCGGGAGGGTCTCGCCCGAGCGCTCCCGAATAGAACCGCCGACCGGCCCTGAACGGAGAGAGAGGGCACTTCTCAGCCCATCCATGCCCGCGTGTGGCCCCATAGTCTATGAACTAGTGGCGACTTCAATGATGATAATAGTGGAACTGCCCATCCATCCATAGTACCCCTTCTTCCCCTCTCTGCCTCGGGAAGGTGTTGTGTAGGCATGACCCATAGCAAGGGGGGGGGCGGGGGGGTGTACTCATAGTCGTGCATGCCGTAGTCGTTAGACCATTGACCTCGCATCCCTACAAAGCCGGGACGGAGCACGCCGGGTTCTCACCGGACCAGGCTCTCACATCACCAAGCGCGAAGCGCCGTGAGATATTCGGCGAGTCGCATGAAGGGTGCGCTGCATCCTGCTAAGGGTGTTCGGCATCTTGTGCTTACTTCCTTGCGTACGGATGACAGCTGCGTATGAATTAATTTATTTTCTGGTGCTTTCACTTCCAGAGACAGTTGTAAGCACTTTGTAAATGCCTCGAGGGTGCTTGACCATTTTAACACAACGTGGTGCGATCATCCCCCTTGCGCGGAGTGAGGGTTCTCCACCACGCACAACATGATCTACTCGACCACCATTATGGTTACCGCCAAAAATAAAAACAGAGGTAAAAAAAAACACGGTAACCTGGTTGCCGATGAAAGGTAAACTACGCGGGGTGCAGCAAGCCCGTGTTGGGCGGCTCTTGGGGCAGTGGGTAGTCGGCCGTGTTAGGCCGAGAGAGCGAGGTAGAGATAGAGATGGCGTTGGCGTTGGAGAAAGCGTTGGAGAAGGAAACTTGATTGGAGAGAGACGGCGGTAGCGGTGGAGAGAGCGAAAGCAGTGCGCTAGATGCGCGAGCCTTCAACACCGCAACCAAGGCCAAAAGGGTCCCCGTATCTGCATCGGTGGTACCCATCAACATACGAAATTCTCAACACGTATCCCCGAGGATCCTCACGTCTAGAGACTGCTGCGAGTATATCTTACATCCCCCCTGCTCGCAACAGTATCTTCACTGCAAACTACGAAACAATATCGGATATCTCAACCAAAAGACGTCTTTTCCTGAATATATGCGATCAAGATTACTTCCAAAATATGTGACACGAAAACCAAGTCCAAGAAACATGAATACTGCTGCATCGCGCGTGAAAATAACTTAGCGCGGAAAGCAAAACAATTAAATCGAAAGCCAAACCAAACTCATCAGAAAAATAATAAAAACTCATGCCAAATTCATCACAAAATCACGGTGAGACTCGAACGCATCCTTGGGCAAACTTTTCGTAAGAAAGTCTGCACGCTGGTACGGAGACGGCACGTGAATCACCGAAATCTCTTTCCTCTCTACCAGTTGCCTGAGAAAATGGTGCCTTACATCAATGTGCTTCGAGTTCGAGTTTGAGATGGGGTTCTGCGCTAGTTGAATCGCCCCCTGGTTGTCCTCGAAGACGGGGATGCACGGCATGCCGACCTGCGG